CCACTGCACTCCAGCCTGGGCAACACAGCAAGACTCCGACTAAAAAAAAAAAAAAGGAAGAAAAGAAAAGAAAAGAAAAGAAAAAGAAAAATTGGAAACCGAGCAGGTTTTATTTAATAAATTAGCATTAGCATTTTCACACTGCTGTTAATGTTGCTATGTGTCCATCAGGGGGCAGTAGCGAACAACACAAGAATGGAAAGGAAAACGGTACTCACGGTCACCTGCGCACAGGATCTGAAACAGAAAAAGAAAACGGAAGTCAGCAGATTCATTCAGCCATGGAAAATGCAAATCAGAAATAAAGCAGTTGAGGATTTAATAATGGGGGTGGGGTGGTAAGAAGCACATTAAGCAAAGGTCGGCTGGTCAGCGTTAGGGCGTCCTGGGACATTAAACACAAGGAATCATTGCAACCTCGGGTCAATTACAAAGGATTAACTGGGTTATGTGGGGGCTGGCGGCTGCTGACTCCCAGTGCCCAGTGCTTCTCCCCAGACACATCCCCCCACCTCCAGCCCTCTCCCCAGAGCAACTCCCCAGGTCAGCACCTCCCTCCACCCACTGTGTGATGAGTTGAAGCAGGACACAGAAGCAGACACCAGATTGTTGGGGCCAAAAAAGGGCAGTTGGGTGGGTGGGGTGGGGGGGGTAACAAGACCAGCACACCCCTTCCCCACACCCACTTCCCAGTCCTGACAGCACGGTGGAAACCAGATGTGCAGCAGAAGAAATCCACTGGGTTTGGGATTTTCACTGTACAAAAATTCATCTTTTTCTATCAGTAGGTGGCAGTAAAATTTTTTAATCACATGTCAAGCAGCTTTGGGAAGAATTAGTGTTTGGCACACAAGAGGCCTTAAAGGTTTAGCTGACAGTGTCAGCTGGGGAAGGCAGCAGCCCTCAAGGATATTCATTGTGATCCATAATTATTTCCCTATACTTTAAAAACCTAAAGTGATTGAAGGTTGTACACTCTATTGTTTCATAAACACATCTTTTTGGTGAATAGAATTTTTTTTTTTTAAGTAGGATTGTCACAAAGAATAAAATAATCAAAAAGGACCCCGGTGGAAAAAACCATCCTCCTACTTTCCATGACACTTAGAATAAAATTCAAACCCAACCACAACCCACCAGCCCCTCTGGTCTCACTGCCCACTCACATTCTCGAAACTGATTCTCCCCTAGAGCCTTTACATATTTACTCCCTCCCACAAACACACTCTGCCCAGACCTTTTCATGGCCTGCCCAAAACGCCACCTCCTTGGCAAGTCCTTCTCCAAGCAGCCATGGAAACCAACAGCCCTCACTCTCCATCCATCACTGACTCCTCCAACCACACTGTGCGCTCCATGAGAATAGAGACCTTGTCTGTGCCCCGTGGCTAGAATGGTGGACACAGTAGGCGCTCCATAAACGGCACTGGAAGGAAAGAACAAACCCAGAGGGAAAAGTCTTGCCCCAAGGTCCTCCAACTCTAACTTCCCATTCCCATCTTTCACCCTACCGTCAAGTCCTTCACATCTCGGGCCTACCATTTTTCAGCTCATCTTTCTCCTCCAGCCCCTGCCCTTCAATCTATGCTGAGCCTCAATCCACAGTCTATGATGAATCATAGGAGAAAGGGAGAAAAAAGAGAAGTCGATAGCTAGGCAAGTCGCACACGGCAGCAAACATTTTTTTGCCCAGTTAGGGGAAAGATTAAAGTAAAAGCACTGTGGGAGGCTATACTTGGAAACGCATTCTGCAGATAAAAAGGAACTCTAACTTACTAAGTACCTACTATGTAACAGGCACTGTGCTAGGCTTTCTACATCCCTTGTCTCAGCACAGAACCATGGAGTGATGGCTAAGAGCTGGGACCTGGACTTAGACCACCTGAAGGAAGTCGTTCACTGCTTCTGGCCATGTGACTGTGGGCAGGCAGCTTGCTTAATTAACCTCTCTGTCCCTCCCTGTCTGTATCTGCCAACAGGATGATCCCTGCTTTAACGAGAGTTAAGTTAAATGATCTATTTGCGCTGCTGTTGTCCCCATCATCATCCTTACCTCTTCACAGCAACCCTGTGGTGAGGCACTTTTATACCCATTTTACAGAAAACACCACTGAGGCTCAGATCCTCCTGATTGAAACCAATGTGTAATCTGAAGCTCATACTCTCCCCAGCATTGTTTTCCAAAGTATTTTTTGAATAATTTGTTTTTATAATTTATTTATTTATTTTTTTAAGAGACAAGGTCTCACTCTGTCACAGGCTGGAGTGCAGTGGTACAACCACAGCTCACTGCATCCTTGATCTCACATGCTCAAGCGATCCTCCCACCTAAGCCTCCCAAGTAGCTGGGACTACAGGCATGCACCACCACACCCAGCTAATTTTTTTATTTTTGTATGGGGACAGGATCTCACTTTGTTGCCCAGATTGGTCACAAGCTCCTGGGCTCAAGCAAGCCTCCCACCTTGACTTCCCAAAGTGCTGAGATTACAGGCAGGAGCCACCATGCCCAGCTTTTTTCTCCAAGTATTTAAATAGACCAACAACCCAGTTGCAGAGGGCACGGAGGCCCAGAGACAATAAGTGGCTTGTTCACGGACACACAGCCAGAGAGGACGCACAAGAACCAGAACCCAGATCTTGACCTCCACCACTCTCCCTTACATCTTCACAGCAAAGTCACTAGTACAGATGACCCAAAGCTTCTGCTGGTCCCCGTAGCTGGACAAAAGGAGCAAATACTAAGAAAAGAGATCAAGCTCACAACTCAGCAGTGACAGACACGGGAAGAATGCAGTACGGCCCACAGTTCTGGCCAAAGACTTCCCCGTACACCCCAGGTGCGGCAGAAAACCCGTTAGTCACCAGATGTGCCCAGGAACACGCAGTGCTACCCAGAAGGTGGAAGCTTCTCTGTCCCCTTTCCTGAGGGGAAACCCCTTGCCGGTGAGCCTTCCAGCCTTGTACACTGCCCTAGAGATGGTTCTAGTTTCACATCCTCCTTTGTTTGTGCTGATAAGTCGAACCCTTTCTTTTTTCTTTTTTCTTTTTTCTTTTTTTTTTCCTTGCCAGCAGGAAAAAGCACTACCAGTCCCAACTATGGTTCCAGTCACAAGGATCCTCCTCCAGGCCTCAGAGAAAAATAAACTGTTAACGCGGCTTTCTACAGCATCCCAATTCAGCCAAACCTGCAGCCATGACATCAGTGGTCCACTCTGAACACTGGATTCTTCCCACTCAAAAACTAAGGCCGGGCACGGTGGCTCACGCTTGTAATCTCAGCACTTTGGGAGGCAGAAGCAGGGGGATCACCAGAGGTCAGGAGTTCCAGACCAGTCTGGCCAACATGGTGAAACTCCGTCTCTACTAAAAATACAAAAATTAGCCAGGTGTGGTTGCATACACCTGTAATCCCAGCACTCTGGGAGGCTAAGGCAGGAGAATCGCTTGAACTGGGGAGATGGAGGTTGCAGTGAGCTGAGCTTGCGCCACTGCACTCCAGCCTGGGTGACAGAGTGAGACTCCGTCTCAAAAAGAAAAGAAAAAAAAAAAGAAACTAAGTCACAGGGATCTTACCAGCTGCATTTATACCTAAAACTTCTAAAATTTTCCCCAACTCCTCTACATGAAAATCCTACACGTACATACACATCAAAACAGACCCCCTACGTATCCTCCTCTTCCCCTCTGACATGACTGTGTCATTAAACCTGTCTCCCAGTCTGCAAACCTGAATAACCTGTGGTTCTTCCCTCCTCTTCATTCTTTGTGGGTCACACAAAGATGTTTCCTTGCCCAGAGCACCCTGACTTCCCCGCTTCTGTACTGTGCATATCGTAAACCAAGTCCTCATAACCTCCAGCCCTAAATCACAGAAGCAGCCTCATGCTAGGGCTGAGAAACACTCAGGGCATTTCCATTTTCATTTCTTGAAGCTCCTGGGGCACACACATACACACAAAATTAGGAAGTACCAGAACAGGGTTGTACCTACTGCCGTATATTTTTGGTTCTGCTTCTGTTAGAGCATCACCCTGACTCGACCTATAACCCCTCATCTGGAATTTAAGGGACTTAAACGGGGGCCTTTTGTGAACACCAGTGGTGACAGCCAGGCCTACTCCCTCATCCATATACCTGGTTGCCTCTCCCTTCAATCCACAGTAAAAAAATAAACAGAACTGCGAATTCCTCTTTCCAAAACATGCAGTATTAGCCAGGATCCTAGCTGGAGCAGATGACACACTCAACCAGGGTGAGTGAGGGAGTTTTAAAGGGTCTGTTTTCAAGGGTGAGGGTGGGGTTAAGGAAAACCAGTAAGGGATGGGCAAGAATCCTGGGTTAGCAGCAGCGAGAAAGGGCAAGGAGAGAGGCCAAGGCTGCTTTCCCTCATCTCCAGCTGGGGCCTCTCGCCGGGCTGGCCCACTGGAAGCTGGAGGCCAAGGGCACCCGCTGGTGTAGAACATAAAGGTCAGTCTCCTCCTGCTGGGAAGAGGAGGGTAGAGACGGGTGGGCAGGGTCTCAGGAGCCCACAAGAGATCCGGGGCACAGAGCTCCCATCACATCACCACTGAGAGCCCGTCAGCCTGGCAGGTGTGGACTAGGGTGGTTAAGAGGTTAGTTCAACTTCCACTGTCACTCATGAGCTCTGGCACGTGAGGGTCTCGTGGAGCCATTGGTTTCATCTACTGTAAAATGATGCAGGGGCATCTGCAATACAGACCCCACATCTGAGTTGTCTTGAGACTCAAACAACAGAAGGTTCCTTAATTCCCAGCCTAACAGCCACCTTCTTGCCTCACTGAACCTCCGCAGCTACCGCCCTTCAATTCACTTGGTGACTTCCTGTGACTGCTGTAGCCCCTAGGAGCTCTCCAGGCTCTCAGCCCCTCTCTGTCCATCCCGCTGTCCATGCTGCTAACTGTGGCCCTGCAGGGCCCCAGGCCCCAGGTTAGGTGCCAAAGATGCAGAGGGTACTTAAGGTGGTCCTGACTCCCCAAGAGCTCACATGCAAGAAAAGCAGTGAAAGATCTGGGTGCGCCAGAACCTGGTGAGCTTGTGGGATGGAGAGGGAGGGACTTGAGGGATGGGTAGGGAGAGGCTTGGGGATACTCCAGGGTAATATGCAGGGGCAGAGTGGCAGAAAACATGACATAAAGAGTGACCCTGTGTGAGAATCTAATGCTGTTCCATTCTACTTATTATAATATTGACTAAACCCTTAGCTACTGGCCAATCACATGTCAGATGTTGTATTTATCATCTCATTCAAGCCTTACAATAATCCCAGCAGGGAAGAACTGTTTATCCCCATTTTACAGATGTAGACACCGAGCCCTGGAAAAGTTAAGGTCCTGACTGAGCATCTTACAGCCAGTAAGTCTAAGATTCAGTCCCAGGTCAGTCTGACCCTGAAGTCCTTGACCTTAACCACCCCCAGGGAGCACTAAGCTGGTTCAGCCCTGGGCAGGTCTCAACTGAGACCATGAAACCCAAAGGCAGTTCCAGGGCTGCAGGTCACAAACCCCTGCCTGTCCTGGGCCTTGGGAACAGCCCCCATCAACCCATTTGAATGGACTGAATTAAGGCAGTTCGCACAAGTTTCTCAAAAGGAGCAGCGTTTGGGGGTAAATTCACGGAGCAGCCTGGATTTCAGCAAGTGACAAAGCTCTCCAGGTTTTCTGTTATCCACGTTGGGCTTTTAAGGATGGGTAATAAGTGACTGAATAGCACAATGGGTAACAATAGACTCTTTATCCTTCTAAAACCAAACCCACACACCATATGACAATAGTTATTTTTACCCACTGACGTAATTAACCAAAATGTGAACCGCTTCAAGCAATGTTTAAAATCAAATAGCAGTTTATGGGATTTGGAGCAGCACAGATTTCAACTCTGAAAGGCCATCATTCTTCCTGCTCTCCCATTTATCTGCCATGTGAGCATTATCCAACAACTCCCTATAAAACTGGTTCCTTAAAGGTAAATCATTAAAATGGCAGGCTGGGTGGGCCCTCCCACTCGACCCAGAAGCCAGACAACGAACACCCATTGTACAAAGCTCCCCAGAAGCCAGGTGTGGCATTGTGGGGTAGCCTGAGTATCTCCCATCCAAAAGGCAGGGACAGGCAGGCCAGCAGGCAACCCGGCGAACAGTGCCTCAAGCACAAGGCATCAGGCACAGCAAGATGAGAACAGGCCGGCTTCCCTGCCTCATCTGCAAATAAACTCTGAACTTCATGCTGTCATCAGGGACTGCGGGGAAGGGTCAGAATAATTTACAATTCCAGGTCCCAAAAATGCCATGGAAGGCTTCAGTGGAAGGAACGAGAACCAACCACCCTGCAAAGATCCCCCTGGCTCATCTTTCCCCTTGGGGAGCTAGAGGCACGATGGCCTCTTCCAAGAGCACACAGAAAAAAGTAGCCAGAAGGGCTATTTTGGTGAGGCTGTATGGACTTTGAGACGCACAGCTGAGGGTGAACTTAGAACTCCCAGGCCAGAAGTTTCCATTGGGTATTTTTAGCAATAGAACTATTTTCTCAAAGACTCTTAGGAGGAACTCCATACATACGGGTATAGGGTTCCACATTTCATACATATCTGTGTATGTATATACCGGGTATACACCTGGATAAAAGCAGCTTTTTCAAAGTTCAAATCACCTTGTTTTTTACTTTGAACATAACTGATGTATAATCAAATGAAGAAGCAGATGGTTTCCAGTGAATTTTAAAATTTGATGTGATTCGCTATTTGGGCAAATGTGTTGGTTGGTTTTTTTGGTTTGTTTTGTCTTTTAAATTGTTTTTGTTGTTGCTGTTGTTTGTTTGCTTTTTTGAGACAGGGTCTCACCCTGTGGCCCAGGCCAGAGTACAATGGCACAATCACAGCTCACCACAGCCTTAAACTCCTGGGCTCAAGCAATCCCCCAGCCTTGGCCTTCCGAGTAGCTCAAACTACACATGTGTTCCACTATACCCAGCTAATTTTTTTGTGTTTTTTGTAGAAATGGGGTCTCCCTATACTTCCCAGGCTGGTCTCAAACTCCTGGCCTCAACTGATCCTCCCACCTTAGGCTTCCAAAGTGCTGGGCAGGCATGAGCCACCACACTCCATCCTCAGCAATTGCTCTCATTACAATTTCAAATATACTCAAATACGAGAGTGCAGGTTGCTTTTAATTAAACTGAAAGTAAATGCTTATGGAACCCCTGACACACCTCAAGGAGCACACTTTAAACATGTGTGATCTACCTATCCTTTATGACTTTATGGAGGAAGAAAGGAAGAAAGGAAGTCCCAGAATGGTCTAACAACTCAACCCAGAGCACCCAGTATCGAGACTAAAATACAAATCCTGCACTCCTCCACAGGGCTAATCTCTTCATCTGAAGAGAGGGTCAGAGCTGGCAATCCCCAAGTCCCTATCTGAACCCTTCCTCCACCATGTATGATAAATCTGGGGGTCCTAAATTAAGACTCCCCTGTCTGAATCTAGCCCACTGCCATGCATTGCTTGACCTGTGATGTTATTAAAATCTTAAGTATTTAAAAATTAGGGAGATAGAAGTCAGGTGCAGTGGCTCACACTTGTAATCCCAGCACTTTTGAGGCTGAGGCAGGTGGATCATCTGAGTTCAAGGGAGTTCAAGACCAGCCTGGTCTGTAACATGGTGAAACCCCATCTCTACTGGAAAAAATATATATATATACAAAAATTAGCTGTGCATGGTGGTGCACACCTGTAATCCCAGCTACGTGGAAGGCTGAGGCAGGAGAATTGCTTGAACCTGGGAGGCAGAGGTTACAGTGAGCCAAGATTGTGCCATTGCACTCCAGCCTGGGCAACAAGAGCAAAACTCCATCTCAAAAAAAAAAAAGAAAATTAGGGAGATAGCATTTTTTAAATCTTGTTTTTTGGCTTCTCAAACAGATCTGGCTTTCTCCTCTGGCCACATTAAAGACATGAATTGGATCTGAGTGTCAGCCTCGCTTCCCATGGGGGAAGTGCTTGGAGTTCACAGCCATTCCCTAGTAATGTCACCCCAACGCTGAGGACAAATGGCAGTTGCCAAGCAACATGGCCCCCACGCTGTTGGTTTTCTGTATCAAACATGAGCATGCAAAAGACTGAGAGGCAGTATGCTTTTCCACCTTTTTCTCCATTCCACTTATTTATGTCCCCAAATGTCCCTGAAGACGGTGGTGTTTGTAATCCTTGATCAAAGTGCACCTTGCAAACAAAGTCCACGGGTTGAAATGATTAACAAACTGTTTACTTTCTAAGTGTCTCTCCTAGGAGAGGATTTCTGGCCCATGTGAGGTGTGAATAATGTGCACAGTGTGAATATAAAACGTACCATTCTGCTTGCCACTACCTTTTCTCCTCACCCCTGAACCGGCCCCTCACACTGCCACCACCACGATCCCCAAAAAAGAGCAAAAACCAGGGCAGAGAGTTTCAGTTCTTCAGTTGAAGACTTCTGGTTGCATGCACTTAAATCTGAATAACGAAACCACTCCATTAATCCTACCAGTTCTCTCCTGCACTGCTCGTCCACCTTAGAACATGGGTAAAAACAGCTAACAGGCACCATTTACCAAATGCTTGCTGTCTTCAGGGCTAGCTCCCCACGGAATCCTCCCTTCCCCACTGCCCAGCTGACTGTATATACAACATATGCCTTCCTGACTCCACAGGTTCCACATCCCTCCCAGAGGAGGACATTGGCTTCCAAGTTCCAGGTTCACAAACTGCCTCTGACTGACCACAAAATGCTAAGCAGGTCTCTGTCTACACTCTGGCCAGAAAAGCCAAGGGTGAGTCCTATCACAGGCCCATGAGGAACATCAGCAGTGAGGTCAACAGACCCAGATGCTTCTCACAGAACTATCCGCAGTCACCTGGGTCCTCCCAAGGCTTTGCAAACAGAAGTTCCCATAGTCAAACGACCACCCCACTGACTCCCACCACACTACAGACGTGAGGAAGACAGAGACAGGGTGGGGCAGAGGAGCCACAGGACTTAGAGTCAGGCCTGGGTTTGAAGCCTGGCACCACCACCTATTAGCAGGATGTCCCCGGGCCAGTGACCTAACTTCTTGCATCTTTTCACCTGTCAGTTACTATCCACTCTGCAAGCTTGGTGAGGAGATTAGCAGCACACAGTAGGGGCTTTAGAAACAGTAGCAAATGTCATGGACCCCAAAAGGGGAGTCACCTGGCACTGTCAGCCACTGAGTGCAGGAACTTTGAGGACAGCGGGATCCTACCAGCTACAGGAACCTGAGAAAGGCACTTACCCACTCCCAGCAACGAGCAATGCCAGGAGGGAGCTGAAGCAAAGGTGGGTAAAACGCTGATCAGTACTCAACCTGAGACATGGGCACTTGGAAGTCGATTTGATCTTTTCTTTTTTTTTTTTCTTTTTGAGAACAGAGTTTTGCTCTTGCTGCCTAGGCTGTAGTGCAATGGTGCAATCTCGGCTCACTGCAATCTCCACCTCCCGGGTTCAAACAATTCTCCTGCCTCAGCCTCCCAAATAGCTGGGATTATAGGCATGCACCACCCCACCCAGTTAATTTTTTGTATTTAGTAGAGACAGGGTTTCACCATGTTGGCTAGGCTGGTCTCAAACTCCTGACCTCAGGTGATCCACCTGCCTCGGCCTCCCAAAGTGCTGGGACTGCACCCAGCCCATTTGATCATTTTCATAACTAAGAGAAAATGGCAGGGGGTGCTTGGGATAGCTCTGTGAAACTTGCTCTGCATTTTGCTGTGAACCTAAAAGTGCTCTAAAAATAGTCTTTAAAAAAAATTATATATATATATACACACACACACAGTATTTACCTCATAAGACTGTTGTGGCAAGTATTAAATTATATAATCTACATGAGGCATTTA